TGCTGGCAAGTGAAACCTTGGGTCGGCGTTTACATGTATAGGAGTGAATCGCTACAAAATGTATGAATTCTACAAAAATCCAAAGTTTTATTTATTACATAACCACTTAATATGACGCCAGATTCCATGCGCTTGGGAAAATACTTGTCTTCTGTCTTTTTTTAGTATATCTTATTTTGCTAAGCGCGTTGGCCGTACTCTTCGTACACACAAAAATCAGCACCCAAGACAAGAAATGCCAGCCCTAGTATAAGAATATACACTAAAGGAATCCAGTAAACTAAAGATGATTAACTAAACGTTTTCCAACCCAGTGTGAGTACATCTCAATCGCAAAACCTCTAACGAGGGGTAGGTAAACAAAAACTAATTTTATTTAAAAAATTGGGGCAACATGTGTCAGTTACTTCCTTGAGTCTGAGTATTTTTGTATGTAGTGTATTTGATCCAAGTACACTTTAACCTAGTCAACCAGGCTTTAGAAAAAAAACTAAAAAGTAAACAACATACCGTACGATCGAAAAAACGGCGTCCAGTTGGCTTAGAAATGACGATCAGTGACATTCCCCATATAATTTTACATACAAAATGACAGCGATCTTTATTTCATTTTATATAATACGGTATTGGTATATTTACAGTTTCATTGACGAAATGTGCAGCATTTCTTAGTAATAACAATACGATCTAACTATTTATTTCTTGTCAGTATAAATATAGTAGTTTAATTTATATGTATTATATGCTCTACTGGAGTGGGCGGATCCACGGAGGGGGTTTCGGGGCCTCAAGCCCCCTCCTTTTTGAGTTCAGTCAAGTAATACGATAATTTATTTTGTCACAAACGACTCTGGGGTATGTACTTTGAGTAAAGTTTTGAATGGATCCTCTGCTCTACTGTACAAAGTATAATTTCTCACTTATCTTAATTTGTTAATATCTGATAAGCACTTATTTTTTGATCTAAATCAATACATATTTAAATCTTCACTACATGTTATGTATTTACAAAACTAAAATAAAAGATTTAATGAAAATAAGTTAATTAAAATTAAAATTTATAATTTTAATAGTCTTCCCTACATATTATCTTCTTTTGAAATTAGTATTTAATAATTTGCATCTGTAATTTCATGTATATGTAATATTGATAGTTTGCTCTATATTTTTTTGTAGTTATACAAAATATAAAATTTTTAAAAATTGTAATAAAATGATTAATTATAGGATTTTTTTACAAAAGAAGTCAAGTAATTTTAAAGTAAGACGGAAATGTATGTAATTTTCACACCCAAATGCAAAGTTATTGTTCACGCATCTCATTATTCTTTCTTTTTTTAGTTTTCTTTCTTTTTTTAGTTCTCTTTTCGTTCAATTTCGCAACAGTTATAGAAAAATTCGAACGAATAGATTGTTTTCCATATTCGAACCGTGCTATTTGAGATTTAAACTCGACGTTTCTCCCACGTGTTCCTCTACTTTCCTTATGCTGAAGAAGCCCTTCAGAAAAGTGGGCGAAACATAGAATTTCAATCTCAGTATGACACGGAGCAAATCCGGGAAACAATTTTTCTATAGACTGAAGCCGTAAAAACTTACGTTCTCGCAGTTTCTTTAAAATAAATAGTATTATTACAAAAAGGACAAATTCAAATAAATGTTGATGTTTCTTTGAATGGCAGGAAGCTTAAGGCACAACAGGTGTTGTTTGATATAGTATTAACCAAAGTTATTCATTTGTGATTGCTTTTAAAAAATAGCAGTAGTTTTTGTATAAAAATTACTGATTTTACGTTTTGCTAAATAAAATTATTTGATTATACAGGGTGTTTCAAAAAACATGTGCCGTCTCTCGTGGGGAGATTCCTCATGTAAAAATAAGATTTATTTTTCATATCAACATAGGTTCGATTCTGCTTTGTTTCGTAGCTACAGGGTGTTAAAGTCTTAATATTTTCTTTGATTTATTATAATTTTCTTCCAAGTACTTTTAGCATTTTGAATGAAATTTTGATGGTAAAAGTAACTATAAATGCGTCGTATTTTAAAGCTAAAAAAGTGTCGACATATTCACCAGGGACGTGCATATGGGTTATCACTGGAATATTTTTCTAAAAAAAGCATGTACGCCACTGACCTTTTTTCTCTTGTTAGCAAAACAGTGTAAGCAGTTTAATGCCGATTAAAAGTTGTCTCTTGATATTTTGCCGATTTCGGCCTCCTTGATGAGATAAACGCAATTTTATTAATTTGCCTTGATCCAAGTCTAATATACCCCGCTGGCAAGCAAACCTTTGGGTCGGCGTTTGCATGTATAGGAGTGGGTCGTTATGGCAATCTAGTAAGTCGGAGTAAGCAAAAATACGAAGTATTTATTGCATAACTACTTAATCTGACACTAGATTCCATTAGCTTGGGAAAATACTCGCCTTCTGTCTTTATTCAGTATATCTTATTTTACTAAGCATGTTGACCGTACACATGAAAACCGGCACCCAAGACCAGAAATGCCGACCTTTAGTATAGCAACCCTTAAAAAAATTAAAATCATTAACTTGCGAAAGTTTTATTTAACTGCTCATTGATTCTCATCAAAAAATATGAAAAAAAGTTCCTATAAACATGGGTATGGAAATGCATAGTTTTAGAGTTACAGGATGTTAAAACTTTTTAAAATTAGGTTTTTTGTAATTATCTTAAATGCTATTATTTTTTTATATGAAATTGCTGTTGTAAATGTTGAACTAATAGTAATAATACCTAATAATATTTAATAATAAATTAGGTAAAATATATAATTATTTGTTAATTTTGATTTTATTTCATTTATTGTGATTAATAAAATTGCGTTTATCTCATCAAGGAGGTCAAATTGGAATTGGGATCAAGAAATAACTTTTAATTGGCATTAAACGGCCTACATAATTTTGATATCAAAAGAAAAAAAGTCAGTGGCGCACGTTTTTTTCTTGAAAAATATTCCAGTGATAACCCATATGTACGTCCCTGATGAATTTATTGAAACTTTTTTAGCATTAAAATATGTAACACTCATAGTAATTTTTACCCCCAAAATTTCATTCAAATCGCTAAAAGTACTTAGTACAACGACAACGATATTAGACTTCCTCGCATTAATGAGCCATCCTGTATATGGATTAATTTACTTTTCTTTTTTTGAAAATCTTTATTTTATTAAATGATGTATTCGTGTATATCTAAGATCCATAATTTATGAAATACTAGATTAGAAAAATAAGTGGTAATCAGATACTAACAAATTATGAATAGTGGGAAATTATACTTCCTACAGTAGAGTACATAAATACAATATGATCGAAAAAAAAGGCGTCAGGGATGGCTATCATTTTATATGTAAAATTATATGGGGAATGTCACCGATCGTGATTTCCAAGCCAACTGGACGACTTTCTTCGATCATACGGTATAAATTATGTTATAAATACTATATTTATAGCAATATGAAAATAAATAATTAAATTGTATTGTGTTACTGAGAACCGCTGCACATGTCGCAACTGCAACAGAAAATTAAAAAACAAATATTATGTTAAAATATGTCTTTACCTATATGGCGGATTCATCTCTCCAAAAAAATCATAAAGTTTAGGTTTAACGCATTTTAACAGAACGTCAACGGTTTCTTGTAGACGTATTTGTTTTAAAAAAGTAAAGGGTTCTCGAATAGTAAAATTTAAATATTTTAAATAGTTTTTTTTTCTTTATTCTTTGTATTTTTTTTTGCTTCCGACGACGGATATTTTATTTTGTAGATTTTCTTGCAGTGCAGTGGCGAAATACCCATAAAGGATTTTTTTCGAGAAATATTATGTTGTTTACTTTTTAGTTTTTTTTTTGATAATAGTATAATTATATCACACCGGTATTTTCATTATTATAATATGATCTTTGTTTCTCTGTAAATATACGTTTATAATATTCTGTTTTTAATTCTTTATAGTACAAAACATATATCATAAAAATTATACACTGTGTTCCATACAAAAATACACACCATATAAATTTCATATGCCAGGAGAGATGATCAAATAAGAGAGAAGTTACGCCTTATTGAACCCTGCAATGTCACATTTCGACGATGTTTCAAAATCTAAAAAATACGATTTTGGGAAAACCCGAGGTATCACACTTAAATAGTTGATTGAAAGAATTGGGAAGATACGCAACCTAATGAGAGAATTTGCGACAAGGCTGGTTTGATTTCCTCTTACGTCGCAAGTGCTATACGGTGAAGACACCAATCGATCTGCGGTCAACACTTATTTTCTCTAATTCGGCCAGTGAAGGCATATGAAGACGGTGTGAAACTGAAAGCGACAGTGTTGCCATATTAAAATGTGTATACAATAGATTGCTTGAATAGCAATCAAACAATAGACTAGCTTTAAACAGTAATCTTCTTCTTACAGTGCCATACTCTATATAGAGCGTCGGCTTCCTCACGCATGTATGTACTTGTGATGTGTCATCAGTGTTTCACAAGTACACGGGACCTACAGTATATTGCCGAATCCGAACGGCACTATTTGAGAGGCTGGACAAGGCAAATATACTCAAGGTGGTTTGCCATTGCCTTCCTTGAGGTGGCGGCTCGTTGGTCGCTCTATTTAAATAAATAAATATTTTTATTTAAATAAATAAAGCGACCGTACTGGCTGGGGATCGAACCCAGTACCTTCCGCTCCGCAGATCGACACACTATAACCTATAACGCTGGAGCTAGGGCCGGCCACTAAACAGTAATAACTTGTTTAATTTAAATGAAACGCCCTGTATATTTTCCAAAACATTTTTTTTAACAATTTTCTATTAACTTTATTCCCTTTTATATGTTATGTACGTGATAAATTTAAATTTTGTTAATTTCTAATTTGGGACATTGATATTACGAAACAGGCTGCCAATAAATAATTAAATGGACGTTGTTACCGCATTTTAACGTTGAGTGTCTTTTACAGGTGGAGCATTTCACAGTATTATGGATCCTCTTCATAATAATAGTAATTGGAAATAGCGGTGTTCTATACTCCCACTTCATTGGACGACCAAGGAAAAGTCGAATGAAGTTTTTTATTGCTCATTTGGCATTTGCAGGTAATTTGTAAATTATCGTGTTTAATTTCGCTTTTACTTATAGCATTTGATTTAGAGATATATCATTCCACTGTATTAAAGATTTTAATAATCCATTTTTTTATGTTTTTGTCAGAGTTTTTATTTTTTTTAAATTCATATTTGGGAAAACTAAATATTTCGACGACATGGCATTACCCCGAATCGAATACTGCAAACAGTATTCAAAAAAATAAAAGAACGCCCACCATCAGATAATAAATAATACGTTTCTTCTAAAAACAGCATATGACCGTTGATAGACAGACCTATAGTTCAGATCAAATAAACTTTTAGTCACGTGATTAAACTTGACCGGCACAGCGTTGCCCACTTTTACATATTTTCTTTTAATCATAATATTTTAGGAAACAAAAATAAATTCATTATAAATATATAAACAGTTATTATTTACATCAACAAAACTTACCTTCTTAACAGCACTTAAGGAACATAAAGGGCCATTACTACCGCTTTCCCGTTCAAAATATTCTAATAAAGTTGCGATGAGTTTTTTACGGCTATTAAGCTATCTTGTACACTTCGCACTAAAAGAGATTCTAAAAAGAACAGTGTTCGACTGCATGGTCTGCTAGTAAACATTTTTAAGCTCAAAATCACAACAAAATTAATTTAAACCAAAAACTCGTAATACAAAACTAAAGTGTCAAAACGAATGACAATGTCAGGAAATAAATAAATAGATGTGGCAACTTGATATTTCTTACAGGAGAACTACCACCTGAATCCCTAGCGGGAAATTTGAATTCCTCTTAGTCAGCCCGGCGCCGAATATGTCCATGGTTAGCAACAATGAATTTAAAAATGGCGCCCTTGATTACGTAACTAAAAGTTTAATTGGTATTAATTATAGTTATATTTCACTGAACGACATAAAAATACTATAATGAAATAAATATTTCTCATTGTTTTTCAGATCTCTCAGTTGGACTGATTAGTGTATTAACAGATATTATTTGGCGTATGACAGTTACCTGGTATGCTGGTGATGCTTCTTGTAAATTTATTAAATTTGCCCAGGTAAGATTCTCATTATTAAATTTCGTACATTTTAATATAAGTTAATATGGTGATACAAGATACAAGTTTCTTTTAACCAGATCTACCACTCCTTAAAGCCCTTGCACTTATGTCTGGGAGACTCCGTATAAAGTAGAAAAAAAAATAGAAAGCTTTTACAGCTATTAATAATTTAACTAGCTTTTTTCCGCGACTTCGTTCGCGTTGCATCTCGAATCGTTTATGCATTGATTTAAATTATTGTTTACCTTTTAATGGATACAGCTAGTGAGCCTTAAAAATGCACTATTTAAACTATGATTTTAACAGTTTTAGAGCTACTCATATTTCATATAAAAGTTTCCAATTGTCCATTTTCTGGGTATTATACAGAGCGAGTCTTGAATAAGTGCAAATATTTTCAGGGCTTGTTGATCTTGTTAAAAAAACATATGTATTTTCTTTTTACCGTTTTTCAAACAATTCCAAAGTAACCGAGTTATACTTTAAAAGTTTCCAAAAAAATATTTTTTGCTTAAATTTTGAGAACCACTGGTTCTTTTTGGGTTTTTCTGTCTGATAAATTTTATCTACTACCTATGTTGCCATATTATCAAGAAATTATGGTTTTTAACTAAAAACTAAATAAAATTCCAAAAAATTTTTCAAAAAAGCATTTCCGTGAAAAGATTGTATTATTAGGGTGATAATCCTGTTTATGGGGTCAAAGTATACTACCGCTAAAAATGTTTTCACTTATTTAAGACTCGCCCTGTATATCTTTTCAGAAAAACCGATTTTGTTATTTTTGTCTTATTATACATTTTTTACTTAAAATTTATAAAGAGCCGTCAATAGGCCAATTTCGAGAGCATTTTTCCTCTATTTAAATATTATTATCCGAAAATTTAAAAACCGTTTTTTATTTCTTTATCCCCTGTATATGATTTTATGACACTTTGTATACTAAACATAAAACTTTTAATAATTAAAAGTTTTTATATATGTGTCTAATTATTAGACCCGTGTGAAATACATAATCTTAATAATTAATTTAGAAGTTATCGAAATCGAAGTATTTCAAAGAAGTTTTTCAATTTTGGCCCCAAAATGATTTTAAAATCTTGCTTTTTAACACTTTTTTTTCAAATTTTTCTGGAGGGTGAATGGCGCTCTTCCGTGGTGGTTTTTTTATTTCTTAATTATGTATAGGGTGTTTTAGAACTCGAACCAAAGTCGAAATCTTTTAAAATCTGAAAAAAGGGAATCTCTAGAAAGAAAATAATAAAAAAAGAAAATAATAAATAGTGAAATGACTATTTATCCTCTATGGGTAGAATTATATATATATATATATATATATATATATATATATATATATATATATATATATATATATATATATATATATATATATATATATATATATATATATATATATATATATATATATATATATATATATATATATATATATATATATATATATATATATATATATATGGTCCCATATAAACTGTATTACTAAAATAAAAAGCTTTGACATATAAAGTTTTCAATTGAATATTTGAAATTTTCAATTGTCGCTTTTCTTGATATACTTCCCTGATTTATTTTTATTTTTCATGAGCATTAATACTCTCTTTATATTTTTTATTCCTAGAAGGATGGTTTGAAAAAGAAATATTTCATTCATATTATTGAGGTCATTAAATAAACCCTTGTATAAAATTTTATACTTCTAGATGTTATAGTAATACATTTTCGTAGAGCAAACTTTCATTCCCTATTCTACTCCCCAAGGGTATGAATTTTATAAATTCACTATGGCCAAATAATTAACTCATGTCTTTTAAATCATCCTGTGTACAAATTTTTATGTGAATAATCCAGAGATCACGAAAAAAAAAGGTTCATATAAAATTCAATAATCACTAATGTCATTTAAACGAACCTTTGTGCTAATATTTATGTATCTAAAGCTGACGGTATAACTGACCCCTAAAATATCTAAAATCTTGATATACAGGGTGGCGCCTCTCATACGCCGCGGAAGTTCCAAGGAGAACGGTAGTTTATATCGAAATGAAATTATGACAGCATTTGTAGGTTAATTGAAAGCATTTTACAAAAATATATAGAATTATACAGGGTGTCCCAAAAAAGAGTTACACATCAAAGTTGTGTTTTTTCTAATGGAACACCCTATATATTATTTGATTTTCGGATTCTAGGGAAAAAATAAATGTGAGTTTTATTAAAGAAGCATATACCTTAAATCTAAGGTTTCTGATATATTTCACATTTTGTGAAAATGAAGAGTAAATTTTAAATGTCGATAATAGCTACCTAAATTTTAGTTGGCTTTGTATAGCCTGATATTTAATTACAATAACCATTGTATGTTAAACCAAATTAAAATTTGACCCGAGAAGTTATACCGGGTGTGACAAAACTAATATGGAACATTAGTCACTTTTAAAAGCAAGTTACTCCTTTATTTTAAATGGAACACCCAGTATATTTTTCCGGTGTCCAATGGGGAATTTATATATCTTCAAAATATTATTAAGGTTGCCTACCCCTCAGACATAGATTTTCCCAGATATTTTAATTTTCATGATTTTGCGTCAGTAAATCTTTAAATAAAGATTGTAATGTAATTGTAAATCTTTAAATAAATTTGAAAATATCTAGGTGGCTGCGTGATATACCTTTTGTTAATTTAACAAAAATTAAAGATTGTAGAGTAAACTACTCAAAGGTAATAAAAAGATATCCGTTTAAAACATACTTTAATTATTACAGAATTAAAACTAGATATAAACCTATAATTATGCGACAAAAATTAGCTAGATGAAATCAAATGCTCAAAATGCTTCCTTTCCTGTTAACTGCATAAAATAATTGTCTTTTCAAAAGGATCTTTTGATTTTAAAGGGCATGTGTGGAGTTCTACCTCGAAAAGCAGCTACAATAATTTCTCTCATATTGTCGACAATAGTTGTCGAGTTTTATAAACACTGTCTTTAACATATCCCCATAAAAACACACAGACTAGATAAAATCAGGAGCATTTAAGTATTCTTTTAATTGGTGAATGCACACTGCATTCACCAACTAATAGAATCATATCAATTATCTCTGATGTAGGATAAGTTTGCATTTTCAGCAAATGTCTGAGAATTTTTTTTTGTTCTAACTGACACAAAATGATAACTAGTTGTTAAAGTTGGACTAATTTCACAGCTATGTTGAAGTAACGTCAGACATAATCACCAGTCACTTAGATTTTATCAATAAATAAAAATCTACTCACATCAAATCAAGTAAATGAAAATATCTAGGAAAATTTTTGTTTGAGAGGTAGGCAACCTTAATAGTATTTTGAAGAGGCATGAATTTTCCATTGAATATCGGAATAATATACTGGGTGTTCCATTTAAAATAAAAAAGTAACACCCTTTTAAAGGCGACCAATGTTCAATATTAATTTTGTCACACACTGTATAACATTTTGGATCAAGTTTTAATTTGATTTAAAGTACAAGAGTTACTTTAACGACATATTAGACTATACGGGGTAAATTCCAATTTAGGTAGCTTTTATCGTAATTTAAAAATTGTTCTTTATTTCTAGAAAATGTTAAATATGTCAAAAACCTTACATTTCAGTCATATACTTCTCTTATAAAACTCACCTTTATTTTTATCTTGGAATCCAAAAATCCATTAATATATAGGGTGTTCCATTATAAAAAACACAACTTTGATATGTAACTTTTTTTGGGGACACCCTGTAGAAGTCTCTATATTTTTAGAAAGTGCTCTGAATTACCTGTATAATAGTATAGTCCATCCTGTATAATCTCACTGACATATCACACCATTGAGAATGACAAATCATTTATTTCTGGAGGTATTGTGTGTAGGTGTTTTTCAGGTATGTTCTAGTATTTAGTCGTTTTACACAAAGAAATAGCCATTAAACAATATAAAAATACTTCATAACAAATCTAGACATATATACCTTTCATTTAAAAAAAGAATCATCAAGATTGGAGAAGCGGTTTCGGCGGGATGGATGTAACAAAAAAACCCTTTGACCTTTTATATATGTATGGATGGATGGATTTTTTTTAATTTTTTCAGTTATTCAAAAGCGATATAACTTGTAAAAATTTGGAAAAGAATTCTAATCTCAATGGAATTAAGCCAATCGCATTGTTTATAATCAAGTTGAAGTGTCCAGTATCGAAAAGAGTCCCATTTAATTTTATTCCCGACACAAGAAATTCAAATACAGTCAAACATATTTGCTGTTGCGAAGTAATCAAATTGTCAATGGAAGAGGTCAGACCCCCCAAACAGCTCCCAGCTGTGACATTTTAAAAGGAGAGCGTTTTATTTGCTTTGTGCATCGTATGCAAGAGTAAATTGAATTAAGAATTCAATGGCGTAAAACATGTATTGTCGAGATTTGGTAATGGATATTGTTTAGAGATTTTAGCTTTTGTCTGTTTCTGGAAATTGAACAAGTTCTAAAAGGGACTGAAAAAGGAAAAATCAACTATATCAGTAGTTGTATAGCGGGGGGGGGGGGGTAATCACAGCGACCTTATAGATATAGTATGTCCCCCTTTCTTGAGTTATAACTCATCATACAGTCTCTCGACAAAAGCCAGTATCTATGACGTTCTTACAGATGTTAGTTCTTCATCTCCAATATCAGTCGTACCAAAGTTTATGGTACGAATGGTTGTCGTCTTGGTGCACTCGGTGGTGAGATGTTCTAGTGTTTCCGCATTTCACCCACATAATCTGCATTTGCCGTTGTTTCTTAGCTTTGATATACTGAGCTGTTTAGCAAGACAGTGTCTAAAAACCCCGTGACAATCCGAAGGTTGTTCTTACTTAAATCAAGAAAAATCTTTGATTTTTCTCGGTAGTAAGTTCTGAGAAATTTATACTTTCCAGTGCCTTGAAAGACCGTTGGAGGATACTCATTCCAAGTTACGGAT